GATAACACAAAAGCATTGCATCTCTCCCATTCATGCTCTAAATCACCACTATACTGTTCTTTCCGACATTTTCCATCTATAAAACCTAGCTTATTTTTGGCTAATAAAGCTACTCGCATAGAATTGCTCCAAACTGTATAGTTTTCTATTCCTGTTAGTTGTTGAGGAATAAGTACGCTACCTGGACTGTCTGAGGGATGGAAGTACAGAGGATGCCTGGGATGAATGTCCGTGAATTTTTCTCCATCGTCCTTCCCGGTCTCAGTAGTTGTGTTCGTCATCGTCTAGGCTTGAATCAGTGATTCGAAGGTTGAATCTGCATCAATCTTCAAGGAAAACCTTTCACTTTCTCAGAATTCACAATTTCTGAAATCAACTGTAAACCCTAGGTAAATTCCCCAAATTTCTGACGAATACTCTTAATCTCTCACTTCTCTGACAATATTGAGTGAATTTATCTATACTAATCTTAGATTCTTCAAAAGATCGGATCAAAAAACGCCATAGATCTATGGCTCTGATACCATATTGAAAGGGAAAGAGGATCTGATCCTTGAGCTAAGATAGGGAGAACAGAGAGTAGAGAGAGAGAGAGTGAAAAGTTCCGGAGAAGTTTTCTGTTATTTCTCATTACCAAACGTGTGTCCTTTTACATTTATATATCTTCTATTCTAACTAACTCTAATACATGTATAATTAACTATCAACACTAAGCTAACAGTAATCAACTATGTACAAACATCACTGCTTATGTACAATTCCACACTACATATACTAATTTCAACATATAGTCTTACCGAAAAGAATTGATGTGTTTGCCTTGGAATCTCAAGGCCTAAGTATATTCCAAACAGTTGCTATTAATTATGAGATTATGTTGTGTCTGTTCATAACAGACAGAAGTCACCGCAATTATAGCCGACAAGGCAAGATTATTGATTAATGTTACAAACAATTAAGAAATATTAGTAACTTGTTAGGCAATGCCAGGAGAGCCCATCCTTTTATGTTATAGAGCAAATAGTGGGATTTATTTCCCTGTGTTTCTACAGTTTAAGACACATTCCCATGTGCTTGCCTCAGTTATCTTCATGCCTAGTGGGTTTGATGAAATGCCAATTTTGACCGAGAATAAGATTAGTAATTGATTGTTTATGTGATTGGAATTGACTTCAGTTTAGATCCACAATTTCCCTTAATTAATCTCTAGAAGATCAGTTTTATATATGATCCATTATAAATCTGTTTTCACTTGGGCCGAGGGTCTATCGAAAACAGTCTTATCAGATCTTATACCTTATTTTACCCTCCCCAGATCCCACTTGTAGTTCTCAAAATATTACTTCCTCCGGTCCACAATAAGTGACCAATTTGTTTTCGGCACACCCATTAAGAAAATACTAAACTCTAGACAAAAATAGTTAGTGTGACAAAACTACATAAGGGTAATTTTGAAAAAATAAATTGAATTTTTTTTAATGAACACTTATTTTGGATCAAAATAAAAAGGCAAGTCACTTATTGTGGATCGGAGGGAGTATTATAAGTCTGACATTTCCTAAAATTTAATGGAGTTGATTCTTGTAAAGCGTAAAGCAATAAATGTTTTAGGTTAGTCGAGTTGAATGTAACTGCAAAAGTAGCCAAAAAAAAGACACTTGGTTACTATAAGTCACATCCACAATTCCCAGAATGAAATATAGAATATGCTAAGGCTCTGAAATCCAGTTATATAGTTAATAAGTACTCCCTCCGGTCCAAAATAAGTGATTTTTTGGATGTTTTCACACAGATTAAGAAATCCACCTTTTAGCATTAATTAGCAATGAAATTGACCATGTTAACATTTACTATCTCATATAAACACTCCTAACACATATTCCAACACTATTTATTCCAAGGACAATGTAGGAAAAAAATAATTAATTCATTCTTAAAATCTGAAAAAATCATTTATTTTGGACCAAAAAAAAAACCAAAAAACCACTTATTTTGAACCGGAGGGAGTAGTAAATAGCAGCATAACATAAGAATGAATGAATGATCATCAAATGATGAATTCTGAGTTGTACTACCAAGAAATTGATGATCCCCAAGTGATCCTGTCAGGGCTGGACAAAAATTTACCATAAGTACAACTAATTAAGGTAAATGCTCATTTGTAAAAGATATATATATAATATAATAACAAGGGGTTTCTGTAAAATTAAAAAAAAAAACTATATGTATTAAAATGCTCATTTGATGACAAATCTGGGTTTTTGTAATTTCTATTAATAATCTTTGCTATTCTCCTATTATAATGACCTTGTCCAATTGTTGGCAAGTAGCAGACAAATCTTGATAAAGAAGTTGTTAATGTTAAGGTTTTTGATGGAAATCAAAACCAACATATGTATACTTTAATGCAAGACTCCACTTCATTGAACTATGAACTTGCCAACTTTAAAAAGTGGGAAAATGAAACATGAATTTCATAGTTATAAAGCACATGTTTCTAGTCAAATTAAGCTTAGAAATAGTACTCACTAGCCCTCCCTACAAATAATTAAAGCATCTTAATAGAGTTACAAAGAAAGGGAAGCCAACCGTAAAGTTGTCTTCACGTGACTTATAGGTCACGAGTTTGAACTGTGAAATCAGTCACCGATGTTTGCATCAAGGTAGACCGTCTATATTAATTACATCCCTTGGGGTGCGACCAGGGGTGAAGCTATGTTGGTCCAAGGGTGGTCAGCTGAACACCCTTCGCCGAAAAATTATATTACGTATAAGTTAAAATATTACTTGTTCTTGATTAAAAAATAGACTTTGAACACCCTTGCATAGCCCACTGACAAAGGGTGTCCAAATGAACACTGTTATTGAATTTTCTGGCTTCACCACTGGGTGCAACTCTTCTCCAAACCCTACATGAATGCGAAATATTTTGTGTATCGGACTGCTTTTTAGTAGAGTTACAAAGCAAATCATTAAAATGATACGATTACACATGACACATTATGGTATTAGGGGCAAGATGAACATAGAAAATGAAACATGTTTAAGAGTACTTGGTACAATAGTTACACCTGTACACCACAAGGTATTTAAATGAATGGTGTAAAGACAAATAGAGAAAAGGTCAATTATTTTATTGCAGAATTGGTCTAGTCAAGACAGATTTATCTTAATCACAAACTAGTACTTTAATGGGAAAATCAATTGCAAGATCTTAGAAGCCTATTTGTCTTAGGTGATAAGCCACAACCAAAGTTTGATTGGACTGGCCATGATTAGATAGCCTATTTCAGATAGATTCACAAGTTTAAAGAAAAGAACAAGGTGAAGAAAAAAAGGGCTCAACACAAAAATAGAAAAATTATTGGGAAATGTTGGAGCTGAAATTAAAGAAATATTAGAAATGATAAATTTAAGAAACAATAAATAATTTATCATTTCAAGAATGGAATTTTCAGATTCTTTTTCTTCATTTTTGATAAACATAAGGTATTCAATTTTCGGTTTCATTTCAAAATCCCTATGTTATTTTTCAAAAAATAAAGCAATTTATTTCTATTCTAATTTTGAGAGAAGAACCTTATGAATTTGGCCATAAAATAGATCCAAAAATTACACTAATAAAAACCATAATAATAGGGCGTAAACTAGTTAGAATTTGGAAGGGGAACATTTTCATTTTTTTTGTGTGCTCTGTACAAACTTTTTATATGTAACTTGTGAACATGTTCTTTTTTGTTTAATAGTCGATATTCGAAATTTACTGGCTAGATTTTGAATTCCTATCATATAAGGGTCATTAAAGCCAAATTTATTTTTTATTAAAATTTATTCATTTTTCCGTCTCGAATCTAATTAAGGGTGTATAAAAATAATTCATCTCACTGCATCCCTGGATGGTTCTTGTAAACATATTGAATTACCAAAGATTTGGTAGAGAGGCTTTCTAATTATTCATTTACAAAATTATTATTCTTCTTTTAATACTTCTAAAAAATAATTCAATTTTGAAAAGAATTTTAGGGAGAAAAGTTCAAAATTATATCATTGATCTGTTTTAAAAAAAATATATATATAACTTGTACTGATCATTTACAAAATTATTTCTCCCACTTTTAATACTTCTAACCCTCTCTTTCAAATTTGAAACAAATTCAAAGAAAAGCTTAGGAAATAAAATTCAACATAATATCATTGGTAAAGTTTGTTATTTTTTTTTTTAAATTTTTTTTTGAAATATAAGTTGTACTGATCATGGAAGTAGCCTGGAAATTTTCTGGGACCGACAAGGGACTCGAATGCTGCCTTTAGCGGAGGCGACAACCCTTTGATTCCCTTCTGATATTTGCAGCTATTTTGTCTATCTCTTTTTCTTACAAAATCCCCTTCCCATCCATTTTCACCTCCTTTTTAATTTTTTTTTTACTTATGTTTTGTTAAAAATACTCCATTATTCACCGAAAGAATTCTTTAAAAAAAAAAAAAAGTTTAAATATGCTACTATATTTTAACTTGACGTAGCAAGTTACATTATCTTATTTCTTAAGTTATAATTTTCCAATTAATATGGGTATATATAGTCAGTGGCGGAGCCAGAGTTTTTACCGAGGGTGCCAAAATATAAAAAATTAGATATACCAAAAAGTTATGGGGAGTCAACGTAGAGTAAATATACATAAAACAAAAAAATTTTATCTAGCATCAATATAGTGTAATTTTCTGGCGAAACGGGTGTCGTTGAATGTGGCTCCGCCACTGTATATAGTTACTATAGTATTATTTTAAAACTCTAATACGCTATCCGTATATAAAAATTAAATCCAAAAAAAGAGTTGCTATATTATTCACCAAAGAGAAAAAGAAACATTACTAGTAAACACCTTATCTATTCTTATAATTTACGACATATCCTTGTTGTTTCTCCAATATCTTCCTTAATAACTCTCTTGTATTACGCACACAGATACACTCATATTTTTTCCTATATATTTGACCCCCCTTCATTTCCAAAAATCCTAAGTTCAACTCACCAATTACACTTATATAAGCAGCTACTCACAAAAGAACCCTATATCCACTTCTTCTTCGTCTTCTTCTTTAGAGCCATGAGTTACGAACCAAACACGGCCTTAAATCTAAGCTTATCAAGAAATGAACTTAGCTTTGACCTTTTATTCGATCAATCTTCATCTTCTTCCTCATCATCGCCGTTAAGTCCAGCCGATCAGCCGCGTGTTTTCTCGTGCAACTATTGTAGAAGAAAGTTCTATAGCTCACAAGCCCTAGGAGGGCACCAAAATGCCCATAAACTTGAAAGAACCCTAGCCAAGAAAAGCCGGGAGCTGAGTTCGTCCCTGCGCCCTCATTCCGGTTGGTCAACTAACCGGAACAGTGGCTCGGACCCTACTAGCCCGAGCCACGGTCATCATGGACATGTGGCTAGGTTTGTTACTACTGAATTGAGCTATGGAAGAAGAGAGTTAATGAGTTATGGCTCTAGAAAAAATGGTGAGAATGTTGTTCAAGAGGATTTTGGCCAGCTTGATTTGTCTCTAAGGCTTTGATATCACTACTTTTTTTTAAATCCTTTTTATTGGTTATATTTTATTTTTACATCAAGAAATTGTTGTAATTTTAGCAGCGTCCTTTTGACCCTACTTTCAGGTGGTTTTCTACTCTGATAAGGTTCTTATTAACAAAAGGATGAGAAATCTATAATATTAATTGAAAAAAATTTAAAAGGTCTCTTATTATTTTTATTTATTTATTTACCGCGAAGGAGGAGGCCGGGGTTATTGTTTTTCAAAGATGGGTAGCAATATTAGACAACTCCTTTTCATATATTAAAATTTATTTAGTCTTCATTTTCCTTAGTTTCAGCCTATTCGATATTATCGTTGCATGATACTATAGTTAGCAAAATTATAAAATAAGATAGAATTTGTTGTTGTGCATAGAGTATGTGGAAGCTAAGATTAAACCGATGAAATAAGTCTTTTATTTGTTGGTGAATGGTGTTCAAGAGGAGCAGAAGCTAATACTAGTGCATTTTTTCTCCCCTTTAATTTCTTATTTCATTAAATTTGATCCCTATTTTTTAATACGGTATTCAAAATTTTCTAATCTTATTTTCATATTCATGGAGTGACTGAAAACACTAGGTGGTGCACTTAAAATTTATTAATAGGAACTCTACTAAGTGACAAGGGTTGCTGATCTATTCTGTTTGAGGCTATTTATATTGTCTTCTCTGTTCAATTCTTATAGTGTATATTTTTCTCTTCATGTAGTCCTATTGTTTAATTATTTTCGGTGCTTTGAAATTTGTTTTGTCTTTTCTATTTTTGCTTGTAATTTCATAGTTATAATTGATTTTAGATAAAGTGAGTACTTAACAATCTCTTAAAAAGAATTGATCATCTCGAATCACTCAATTTGGTTTTAAAAACTACGAGTGATTATGTTCATTACATTGATGCAGGTTTACTGTTTATTTAACGTAATTTATTTCAAAATTCCTGTTTTCTTTCCTCTCTTCTTTTTCCCCTTTTTTTTTGGCGTGGAAATGGTGCCATATTATGTTGTTTTAAGATAGTCAAATCTGAAGTGTGGGTATCCAAGAAGTATACCAAATAAATCAGAAAATTTACTTTAAATATGTGATAAGGTTATTAGACTTGAGACGAGGGTCTATCAGAAATAGTCTCTCTACTTTTACAAGATAGGGGTAAGGTCTGCGTATACACTACCCTCCTCAGACCCCCACTTGTGAGATTATACTATATATGATTGTTATTGTTATTATTATTAGAAATGAGAATTTTATTTTAAATTTAACAAATACACATAAAGTAGCTTCTAATGAGAGGAAAATAGAGATAATATTCTTTTACGAACATTTTAATATTAATTTTACTACAATAATTTTACAAATGAAGGATGAAAATTGACAGCAGAGTACCACCATAAGAACAAATTACATGTTTTGATATTTTAGCTCCCTCACTTTATGTCATTTTCTTTTTTCATGGACCAATGTGATTTTTTGTCATTTATGTTGTTTTCGAATATAAGTTCAAGCTTTTCTGGTTTAAAATGTTGAGTTCAAGGAGGGTTGCTATCTCTATACACCGTCCCTCCTAAATGCCATATCTAGCTGCTTTCTACCATTCTATTTAATTTAGACAATGAAATGCCTTTGTGTGGAGATCAAGCGAATCAAAGTTCTATCAAGGGATGTCATAAGATCTACGCGAGTAGGGTGACAAACGAGTGAATCGGGTCGGATATGAGACGGATAAAAAATGAATAATATAAAAAAACGAATAAAATATTTTATATTTAATACGGATAGAAAATGAGATTACCGGCAGATAATATGGATACCCATATTATTCATGATTTCTTGAATTTGATCACATTTGGGAGAACTCCTAGTCTTCCAAACTTGAAAAAACGTCCAATCTGAGTCTTTAAAAATGTAAAAATTAAACTCATTATTTATCTATTTTCTAAGTGGACAATATGAATGTATAACTGTTTTTTTTACATCCACTTTGCCACCACTACCCACCAAGTTTGGGAATGCCTAAATCTAGGAGCGTAATTAGAAAGTGAATATGATGAGCTTAAGCTTAGATAATCGCTTAATCAGCCCGTCGAGTAATTTAATACCGTGAACTTTACCATGCCATAATGTAAAGTATTTGTAAAGCCAATATAAAAGAAGTTCATAAATTCGTATTACATTAAAAAAAAAAAAAAAAAAGTCAAAGTGAAATGCGTGTTTATGCCAAAATATCACAAATTACTACCTCGTCCTGAACCATAAGCATCTAAAACATTTTCTTTTTAAAGACCTAGAGCAATTCCATGAATACTTTTAACCTTTTATGGTTAATCTATGGCTTGTTGTTTAAGTGTGTGGCAGCTAGTTCCAAATTCATATATAGCTGTCCCTTTTAGAAGCCTGCCTCGTGATTATGGGCCGAAGTTTTAACAAGAGAAAATCTCACTTTATACCCATCAATTTCGAATTATTTATCCTATAATGTTCAGGTCCAAACTATTTAGAGAAATTTTCATAAAACACTATCTTTTAGTAGTAATTAGCCATCTATAGATACCATTTGCTATATTACGGGTTATAGATACCTTTTCTGTGGCTATATGATGTATTTAAGCTATTGTATTCATGAATACAGTAGCAAAAATAGGCGTAAATCAGGGAAGTCCAGCTAATCAGTTGTTGTATTCGAGTGTATTCGACTGTATTCATGGCGTGAAACATGGGATTACAGCTGGACAAATTACTGTATTCGACTGTATTCACGGCGTGAAACAGGAGATTACACCATTTTAAAACGGAAAGTGTATCAATTAACATAATAGACTACTAATGTAACTCAACAAACTCAATTATAACACACAAAATTTGTATTTCCGGTTATAAAAAATTTTCTCAACTGGAAAAACCCCCAAAACCATAGCAATCTTCAGAGAAATTATATAATACATCTGAATATATAAATTATATTAATTTAAAAAAATATATGAATACATAGAATGCAACAGGATACATTGAAATACAATAAAAAAAGACAGTGAATACAATAAAATACATGGAATACAGCGAGATACATTGAATTACAATGAAAAAAAAGACAATGAATACAATGAAGCCACTCCGGCGAATCTGTGGCGGCGTAAGAGGAGAATTGGTTCGAAAGCTTTGTAACAGAGGATTTCAGGATGGACTACTTGATCGGAACGCCGTCGATTTTGATGAGGCCTTTCCACTCCTACGGCTTGATTTCCATGGCCGTTGCTTTGATTTCGATGGCACTGACCAATCTGTTTGGAAACACCTTGTACCTTACCTCGTCGGTGAATATCGAGTTGTACTTTACGAGAACATGGGTTCTGGACCGACCAATCCTGATTACTTCGATTTTGATCGATACTCTTCCCTTGAAGGTTATGCCTACGATTTACTTGCCATTTTGGAGGAGCTTCAAATTAGTTGTTGTATGTACTTAGGACATTCCTTATCTGCCATGACCGGTGATGTTGCTTCCATATTTCGTCCTCACCTCTTCTCCAAATTCATCTTTGTTTCAGTGGGGTTTGAATGGCAGAACTGATCCGCAAAAATTCTGGAGGGAATTAAGATAAAGGGTTATGTTTTACAATGGGATGTATCAAAGTCGAGAGAGAAAGAAAATAGTGTAACTGATTAGCGTATTTAGTGGCTTAGGGCTAAGAGGTAACCAAAATTAAATATTTTACTATAAACCTTAAATGGTATCTATAAAATATAATTTTTTTAAATGGTATTTATTTAACATAAATAAGGTGTTAACCTTTGCTATAGGAGGTAAAAATTCCAACTATTTACTACTCCTACCCATGCAGCCAAAACTATTTACCCGGTTATTAACTTTGTATAAACTCTTCCACAAGAAAGAATCTGAAATACAGTGAAACAAAAAAAACCAAGAAATAGTAAAGAAAAAGGTAGCCATGGATGCGGAAGAAGGAACACAACAACCCCAGCTAGTTCTTGCACACAAACTCTTCCTTTTGACACACCCAGATGTCAATGACTTGGATAAAGTTCGCCTCCGTGAAGAAGACTTGGACAAACTCTTCCATTTCCGTTATATCCTTCTTCAAAAGGAATTAGATCTGATNCTTTGGATTTTCTTCTTTTCTCTATTATCTTGTCCAGCAACCTCATAATTTTTTTCTGGCATGCAATTAAATTAAGGGCTTTAGTTGTTGAGTACGAACATTAATGAAATAGTTCCCGCAAACAAGGAATCTTGAAAGAGAACCTCAAGTGGTGAAATAGAGATTCAAACTCCAAAAGAATATCCTTAGTTTTGTGTGGCAGTAATAATATTTGTGGGTATGGCATTTACAGAAGTCTCTGGTCATTTACGTCTCTGGTCCCATGCTAATATCATCCTTTGAGAATCTTTCCATTATCCACCATTGTTGGGCTTGAAGCTCAATTTTATTTTTGAAGATTTCTTGTTTGATTCAAAGTGGGTGCTGTTAAATATTGCTTATAGTACCTTCTGGAAGTTCATACTGAAATTTGATAGCATTTGGAGCTGATTTGAGGTGATTGAGATCGAAATTTTCAGTTGAAAATCGAAGAAGAACACAGCTACAGTATACCGCTACGGTATACAATATGCTGTAGGAGTATATAGCTATACTGCAACAGTACACTATTATAGTTTACAAAACAGTATACCGCTACAGTATACTAATATACTATAGGAGTATATAGTTATACTGCAACAGTATACTATTATAGTATACAATATATTATTATGGTATACTGTAATAATATGCAAGATACTGTAACAATATGTTGTAATAGTATACAATATACTATAATAGTATACTTATTACACGTAAATTCACTTGCCTTTTCTCTTTTAATCTGCTTTAAGCTTTTACCGAGCGTGATGGGCAAATTGAAAATGCAATATATATATATATATATATATATATATATATATATATATAGTATGCTATATAATGTAACGATATACTCGTACAATTAGATCCTTTTAAAATTTTTTGAAATTTTTATTGACATCTTATATTATTTCAGTTTAATAATTGAATTAATTTTTTTTTAACTCTTTACGTACAATTGTATACCCTGTTGGTATAGCTATATACTATACCGGTATCATATGTTAGTTAATATTTTTTTGGTTGTATTAGCT